AATTCCTACCGTTTTATGCTCTAAACTTCCAATTACCTGCCGTTTACCCATGGAATATATTATAACAGACTCTAGTCGACCGCAATAACGCCACACGAGGCACGGTCGTATGGTACACCCCTCCAGTGTACACAAGCAGGATCCAATCTAACAAGCTCCAAAGCGGTAAGAAAAACTCACCCTTGTCTGGCCATGGCTTCAAAGCGAGTTAGCCCGGCGGCTGAATGAAACAAAGGAGAGGTGCAGACCAGCCCCACATTGGGCGCCATTTGTCGTATCGGGTGAATGGTGGCAATTATTGCTGTCAACAAAGAGTCCGCTTATGCTGCACAATGATTAGAGGCTTTTATTAATATCACAAGGTTACAGCATAAGTTACAGACCCGCGGTGTCTGGAGAACGGCGTCCCAGATTGCAATGGCCGTTCTGCCTTCTCCTTCGTTTTTTCCCCCTACTTATAAACAATGCAAAAAGATGCTCCCTCTTCTGGCTAATCACCAGTCTCCCCTGTCTACAACACACTTCCTGTCTGTTGTATGTGACGTTACACTAAAACATTCCCTCTTGATACTAAAATCAACATTCTTTCAGTTCCACTTAAAAACATTTAACAACGTCATAATCTCAATACACGACAAGTGGCCAATCACCTTAAATGTAATAGTTTTTTCATATTGGACATACATATAGAGAGAAATAGTAATGGCGTCTTTTTGTAGGCCCAAAGCCTATGGGGGAAATTAAGGACATTTTTGTAGGGTTTTTGGATAAACGCCGAAAATAAGGTATGTGGCAAACACAGGCTTAGGAGATCTTATACGTTTTGTTCTATGAGATAATCTTCATCAGCTAACGTCACTTTCTGTGAATTATGAAGAATTTGTCATTTTTAAAAAAGCACATAAAGGCTTCATACTTCATGAAGGTCATGTTGACTGACTGCTATTATCTTATAGAACAAAACGTATAAGATCTCCTAAGCATGAGTTAACCTCAGACCTTATTTTCAGTGTTTATTCCAAAACCCTATTATTTCCCCGTTCATTTTTCCCATAGGGATGGCTGAAAGAAGCAGAGGTAACTCATTTCCGGATTTTAGGACTACAAACTGGCGAGCTCTATTGCACCGTACACAATTTTCTGTACGTTGTGTCGCAGTAAAAGGGGGGTCCCGGGTCCATTCTACGCAGGAGCACTTCTAGTTTCCAAATCCACAGAGTTTACACCCAGAGAAGCGTCGCTGCTCATTTTGCGGCCCTTAAAGAGTACCTATCAGCTGAAATGCAGTACGTTTTTCATATTGAACATACATATTGCACCATACACAATTATCTGTACATACAGATGAGTTTGAACAAAAAGATAGGTCATAGTAAGTGTTGCTGGACTTTTACTGTAGTCAAACAGCTTAATGTGGGGTGCCTGGACACTGTACGGTACAAATATAGCACTTTACAGGAAAAATTATCGATTGTGTGGCCATAAAACCAGGATCCAGTCTACATCCTAGAGTCCGTAGATTATAAAATAGATGAGTTTGAACAAAAAGCTAGGTCATAGGACGTGTTGCTAGACTTTTACTGCGGTCAAATAGGTTTGCATGGGGCCACTATATGGTACAAATATAGCACTTTACAGGAAAAACTATTGATTGTTTTTGTCCATAAAACCCAGATCCAGACTGCACTTTTGTACTGTCGCTTTAACTCTCTGCCCACTGATTAATTTAGGACTACATTTTATTTACAAAACATTAAAATAACTATTTTAGCTTGTTTGCTTCCTGTGTGAAATAAAATGCCATTCTATACCAGACTTTCACTATTGGCTTGCCCTATAATGAAGTTGACAAATTCCGACTATTAGCATGTGACTAGGTGAGAAGCTAACTGCTTAAGAGAAACAATGGAAATAATGTGATCAGTAGATGGAGTGTTAACTGACTGGCATACAGTGCCTTCAGAAAGTATTCACACCCCTTGACTTTTTCCACATTTTGGTGTGTTACAGCCTAAATTTAAAATTGATTAAATTGAGATGTTTTATCACTGGCCTACACACAATACCCCATAATGTCAAAGTGGAATTATGCTTTTCGAAATGTATACAAATTAATTAAAAATGAAAAGCTGAAATGTCTTGAGTCAATATGTATTCAACCCCTTTGTTATGGCAAGCCTAAATAAGTTCAGGAGTAAAAACATATTATATGACTTATTATATGACTTGATAAGCTAATTTTTACTCCTGAACTTATTTAGGCTTGCCATAGCATTCATATTATTGCACACATGGACTCACTATGTGTGCAATAATAGTGTTTAACATGATTTTTGAATGACGAGCTGGTAGAGCACGGCGCTTGTAATGCCAAGGTAGTGAGTTCGATCTCCGGGACCACCCATACACAAAAATGTATGCACGCATGACTCTAAGTCACTTTGGATAAAAGCGTCTGCTAAATGGCATATTATTATTATTATTATTATCTCTGTACCCCACACATACAATTATCTGTAAGGTCCCTCAGTCGAGAAGAGGATTTCAAACACAGATTCAACCACAAAGTCCAGGAAGATTTTCCAATGCCTCGCAAAGAAGGGCACCTATTAGTAGATAGAACAAAAAACAGACATTGAATATCCCTTTGAGCATGGTGAAGTTATGAATTACACTTTGGATGGTGTATCAATACACCCAGTCACTACAAAGATACAGGCGTCCTTCCTAACTCAGTTGCCGGAGCGGAAGGAAACTGCTCAGGGATTTCACCATGAGGCTAATGGTGACTTTAAAACAGTCACAGAGTTTAATGGCTGTGGTAGGAGAAAACTGAGGATGGATCAACAACATTGTGGTTACTCCACAATACTAACCTAATTGACAGAGTGAAAAGAAGGAAGCCTGTACAATAAAAAATATTCAAAAACATGCATCCTATTTGCAACAAAAAATACCGCAACTTTCTGTCCTGAATACAGTTTTATGTTTGGGGCAAATCCAATAAAACACATTACTGAGTACCACTCTCCATCTTTTCAATTATAGTGGTGTCTGCATCGTGTTATGGGTATGCTTGTAATCATTAAGGACTGGGGAGTTTTTCAGGATAAAAAATAAACTGAATGGAGCTAAACACAGGCAAAATCCTAGAGGAAACCTGGTTCAGTCTGCTTTCCACCAGACACTGGGAGATGAATTTACCTTTCAGCAGGACAATAACCTAAAACACAAGGCCAAAATAACTATTTGGAGTTGCTTACCAAGAAGACAGTGAATGTTCCTGAGTGGCTGAGTTACAGTTTTGACTTAAATCTGCTTGAAAATCTATGACAAGATCTGAAAATAGTTTCTAGGAATGATCAACAACCAATTTGACAGAGCTTGAAGAATTTTGAAAAGAATATTGAGCAAATGTTGCACAGTCCAGGTGTAGAAAGCTCTTAGAGACTTACCCTGAAAGACTCACAGCTGTAATCGCTGCCAAATTTGATTCTAACATGTATTGACTCAGGGGGTTGAATACTTATCAAGATATATTAGTGTTTATTTTATTTTTATTATTTTATTACAATTGTTAGAATTTTTCTTCCACTTTGACATTACAGAGTATTTGTGTCACTCGTTGACAAAAAAATGACAATTAAATCCATTGTAATCCCACTTTGTAACACAACAAAATGTGGAAAAGAAGTCAAGGGGTGTGAATACTTTCTGAAGCCATAATCTACATTATCCTAATGATGAGAAGGCTGCAGGCTTTACACATTTTAGGTGCCAAAACGTGCATCAGGTCAAGTGTTTTGGCTAGACAAATAAAATATATTTTTTGAGGCATTATCCTAGTAAGATCATGTTGCTACAAGTTAGTAGCACCCTAATGATTGCATAGATTTTTTTATTTAAATGATGTGGAAACAATGTTGACTCAACCAGTTTGTGCCAGGACAGCGGAGTCACTGACCACCTTCCGGAGACACTTGAAACCCTACCTCTTTAAGAAATACCTGGAATAGTATAAAAGTAATCCTTCTACCCCCCCCCCCCCCCCCCCCCCCCCCCCCCCAATAAAAAAAGAAAAAAATGGTTGTCCCACTGGCTATCATAAATTCAATGCACCAATTTGCATGTCGCTCTGGATAAGAACGTCTGCTAAATGACGTAAATGTTAATGTGCCCAGTGGACTGACTCTACCCATGAGATGAAGAGGATCTTGCATATAATTTGAAACTTCTGTTATACTGTTGATGATCAATTTCACAAAAAGTATTTGATTAATTAACTTCACTGTGATATTTGTTATGAATAAAGTATGCTTTTTTGACCAAATTGCATCTCTCTTGACTTTTTGAATAAACATATTGTTTGTCTGTAGAATGAAAAATTTTTTTTGGGAAGATTTGGAAACTAGAAGTGCTCCTGAGTAGAATGGACCCCCTTTTACTGCGACACAACGTACAGAAAATGGTGTACGATGCAATATGTATGTCCAATATGAAAACCAGATTGGATTTAGGCTGATAGTGGTTAAGAGCGTTGTGCCAGTAACCGAAAGGTCGCTGGTTCTAATCCCTGAGCCGACTAGGTGAAAAATCTGTCGATGTGCCCTTGAGCAAGGCACTTAACCCTAATTGCTCCTGTAAGTCGCTCTGGATAAGAGCGTCTGCTAAATAAAAAAAATAACAATAATAAAAAAAAGGGCCGCAGAATGAGCAGTGAAGCTCCTCTTGGTGTAAACTCTGTGGATTTGGAAACTACAAGTGCTCCTGAGTAGAATGGACCCATTTTTACTGCGACACAAAAATCACATATCTCATAGAAATACTTCAAATTATTCTTTGTATGATAACTTGCACAAAATATATCGATAATTGTGCACATTTTCCATAATTTTCACCCAAATTATTAATTTACAAAGCATACAGGACAGTACTCTTATTCTGAAGGTTTCCTAAAAATCCGTGACCCGGAAGTACTTAGTTACTTTTACCCGCTTCATAGCGGTTACATGAGATGGCTGCAGTTGTTTGTGCTGTTGTGATAGGTAAGCCAAAGCTACAACTAAATGATGGACTATGATGTTATTAAACATAGAGAGTCAGCTAGCTGACAATAATAAGGCAAATGCAGAGATTTAACTACATCATATGGGTAACTTTGGAACATTTTGTTTTCAAGGTTCCGAATCAAGTTGCCTCGACTCCCGAGTACGAAAGACCATCAACAACTGATTGATTTCACGACTCTCACAATGACACCTGCTGGAAAGACCAGCATTGACGAAAAGGTCTTGCAGTATGAAACGTTTATTAGCGATGTGTTGAAACGAGATTTGGAGTAAGTAGTCTATTTTCCTTAGTGTCATTTTATTCGCTAACTCAGATGTGTGCAACATTTTCGGGCACGTGCACAAATTTGTTTTTTATGTTCTGACAGGAGGGTATTGGAGCAAAGAGATGGAGTGTATGAAAAAATGGCCCAATATCTACAACTGAAAAATACCATTGAAAGCCTAAAGGTATAGCTTACCACCATTGCACCCACTTACATTGGATATCTATTGCCAACACCATGATGAATAGATGTGACCATCAAACAGTGGGCCAACAACATTTCTACATTTCTCTAGACTGTATATTAATGTAGCTATGTTGTGTCATATAAATATTGTATAACATAAATGTTGTATAATATAAATATGTTGGGTGTTGTTTTGTTGTGCTTTTCCCGTTATTGAGAATATTTACATTTTTGTCATTTAGCAGACGCTCTTATCCAGAGCGACTTACAGTAGTGAGCGCATACATTTGTCCTATTTGTTCGTACTAACAAATTGTCTTCATAGGAATCAGAGACGAGGGGACTCAAAACAGAGATAGATCTTGGCTGTAATTTCTACGTCCAAGCACATGTGTAAGTGATTAGGTATATTGAAAATTGTCCATATTACTTTTTTTTTTTTATTGTGATTGATTGAGGCCTTGACTGTCTGAGTTGTTTTGTTTCAGGGAAGACTCGTCAAAAATCTTTGTTGCTGTTGGATATGGCTTTTTCGTCGAGTTAACACACTCAGAAGCTCTGAAGTTCATTGAGAAAAAGACAAATCAGCTTACAACGTGAGTAGCACCAGCAATACCCATTAAAACACACACATAAGTAATTAGTACAGTATCTTGTAAACATCTGTCAAACTGATTGGCCACCAGAGGGCACACGTGTTTTGTTATTACAGTACTATGAAACAGCATTGTATTTAGGCCCATGTTTCAAGCTCTCAACTTGGATAAACCTTATAAATTAATGAATCCTTATAAATTATATTTCCTTTTACAGACACACTGAAGTGTTGACCAAAGATTCAGCTAAAATCAAAGCCAACATTCGCATGGTGTTGGAGGTGAGTGAGCATGTGAATGATTTAAAGTATGGTATTCTAGCTCTCACAATAGTATTTACTACTTGCAAACTATTATGATGGTATTATGAGCATGGTACAATATTACACAATGTGGGAAATATTTCACAACAAAATGTAATGGCAGATAAAAAAAAAAAAAAAGATGTAAATGTTTTTCTAACTAACAGGGATTAAGAGAGCTTCAAGGTCTTACGGATGTTCCTGAGAAAAGGAGGAGAGACGCTCTCTAGCTGCAGTAGTTCTGGTCTGCTCTGACCTTTAGTTATCCGTTTTCTATCACATTCATAATAGTGATAAGGCTGTATTATTTCCATTGCTCTTTGGTTTATTTATTCAATGGAAATGGTGTAAAACAAACCTTTGATACAAACTTGGCACCTGAACAGGTTGTGCTGTTTAGAAGTTGCTGTAAAACTGTAATTCTGCGGCAAATAAAATGGGAAATGCGTTTTTAAAACTGTTAACCCAGTTTCAGTGGCTTGCTTATGTTTGATGCATTTTTTTTGGCATTGTATTACGAGATCAAGGAAACCTTATGTTGACAAATGATATTCCTACAACTCTTTCCAATAATATCTCAAATATATCCTAAATATATTCACATTTTTGGTATCCTGACCTCTCTTATCAATGCCTGAAGTCATCATCAATAACTCAATTAAATATTGAAGAAAATAAATTTTGCAAACACGGATGAACATGCCTGATCTTAGTGTGGTACCTCATATAAATGTCACCTCTTCAAAGCCACCAGCACCTTCATCTTCAAATAGCATGGTGAAGTGCTGCCGTGGAGGGAACGTTCAGATTACTCTATACTAGTTTCTCATGCTGAGAAACTGGATTTTCCTGTTCAATGTAAATTCTTCAAGTAACAGAGACATTGGTCTCTTGACTTATACGGCAATAGGAACCATATCCACCTTTTCACTTCATTTATGCTTTTGTAATGATGTATTTTTAAACTATCACTTGTTAAATTATGACTTTTGAAGCCATCAAGTCACCATCGCTTTACAAAACTGCTCTCATTTAATTCTGGCCTGTTGGACAAGTTACCATGTACTCACATGAATGTCTTTTTTATTTTATTCCAATCATATACCTGTAAGCCTTTTGTGACCATAGAATTAGGAATATTCATAATTAATATATTATTATATTAACATAATCAATTGTATTAAAACAAAATTTTTAAAAAATCATAGGATCTCTGTTTGTGACTGATACCCCATCACACCAGAAACAGTTTCCATGGCAACTGGATGTTAAGACCTGACTCTCAAAATAGATTTCTTTTTTCTTGGTACATATTGCCTCAAATGGACACATGCACGATCATGTGCCCAATACGGTGTTAGTTTGATGTGGAACAAGAAAGATTCATGCTGCCAAGATATTTAGCCTACTTTTTTAATACATTTGAAAGATTTACAATTGAAGAAAATGTGACCTAAGGTCAAAAAGAAAGATGTAAGCTAATAGAACTTAATAGTTAAACATTCAATAAATAAAGAATATCACTGGGCCTCTGAATCTTAAAATGATGGTATTGTTGTAAAGAACACAACGGTTATACAAAGCTGAAAAGTATACTACCAGTGTTTGACTTGGGCAGGAGCTCACTGGAGCTGAGTACCAGCACCTCAAATGTTTCACTGCTTGTGCTCCTGTTCCTCTTATAGCATATTAGCTCAAAAGTATTGTGGAGCTCCTGCACCTAAATATGAACAGTACCGGCACCTATTTCAGTCCAAGTCAGGCACTGACTACTACCACAAATAGGCTTATACTTTTTGATATGCCTGCCCATGCCTAATTGCATAAATAATGTTTTTTTCTGCTATGTAAGAAAAAGAAAAACAATATGGCAAGGGATATTCAAGGTTTCTACCGATTCAGATTATTCACTAAATATTGCTGCTCCAAATCTAATGGGTAAAATCAATGCAAGGGGATACATTTAAAATTCTCACTTTACCACCTTGTCTAAACGCTGTGTGAGCAAGAAACGTCATGGAGTTGGTGACGTTTGCAGTCTTTCAGGCAGCAACCGATCAAGGGAAAGAGCCAGCAGGCAGCAATGAGTGATGGTGGAACACGAAAGTAGTCGAGGCATTTGTGGAAACAGGAAGCAACGAGGGAAAAGCAAAGGATTAAGTCAAGCCGTTCGGGCGTCAGAAGGCACACCTTGTTGAATTTTTTATACCATGAACTATAATCGCAAACAGCTTTTACATTATGGAGGACTTTTGGCGCTCTCCAGTGAACTCGGAAGCAAGTCTACATAGAGCGTTGAGTCGTTCGAATTGACGCACAAATGAAAGACGGTGGGTTTTTTTTTTAAATAGGGGCTGCTACGCAATCTTGGCGATTATGTTAGCTAGCTAGCAACATGATCTGTTTTCATTTGTTTAGAAAATAACATAGGTCATTTTGAAAGTTTTGATTATCAAGCTAAAAGGAGCGAACCAATGTTTTGCGAATTCCATTCTCATCTCTGCTATAATTAAATCAACATGACTTTCCCCTAAACAAACACTCCTAACCGTTAGCTTCTAGATAGCTAGCTCGCCACTGTCAATAACCAGCTACTGTAGCATGGAGGGAGAGATGCAAGTGTTACCATCGGATCACTGTTGCATAATAACAAATCGGTGTTGTATCTGTAAATCGCATCCATCTCCTCTACCGTGACGCAAAGCGACTTTTGACACCTTCGTTCAGTACGCTGACATAATGGACGTAATTTGATTGACGGATTAAATAAAAGGAATTTCAAGACGAGATGGATTCTAACCCCGTGATAAGTGGTAAGTGTTTACCCTGAATTAATGTAATCTGAATGTAGTCGGGCACAACATTTCCGTGCTAGTCTCGACTGTCATGTATATTTGTTTATGTTCATCTTGTGCTAACTAAAAATAGAAAGGTTTGGCCTACAGTTCATGATCAGACTAGGATGTTGCCAGTGACTAGATTGCTAATATCCATGTGGATATTGAACTAGCCTCTAGCTAAATGCAATGTCGCAACAGGTGTTTTAAAGCATTTTATTATAATCACAGTAATTTGTAGGCAGTATGTAGTTAGGTTCAGCCATTTAATAATTGCTTTCAAAATCACCAATCTTCATGAACTACAGTACAGGCTGTAGTATAATGATTTACTCACGAGATGCAGTTTGCTCCCCATTCCAAGAACATGAAGGTAAAGCCACACTCTTTCTGTAAGATTAGTTTACTATCAAGAGTGGACCATCATGTAAGCAAGAATTGGTGCATTATTCCAAGGTGCATTGCAGGGTGTATTTTCACACGCAAGTAGCACTTGATTTCTATATAGCCTTGGCCTAACTGTTGTGAGTGGAAACTGTAGGCTAATTTGTATACCAAATCTTCTATGTCAACAAAAACCAAACACTGGAGCAATAGGTCATTATGCAGTACTAAACTATTTATAAGTCATCTCCAAAAATGAAGGGTTAAACTTGATCAAGAAAATGTATGTGTTCAGTACATGAACCATGCTCCCTCTCTTGCCTTACCTCAGCCTAAAGATCACCCATATGGGTACTGCACTTCACAGAATTATTGCCGCTGCCTCCTCCACCCCAGTTTATTGAAGGTCTGTACCTGCTATCAACCACAAAAGCAACATCACACAGCTTCCCCGGACTTCTCACACTCAAGGCCCTATTCCCATTATGTCTACCATCCAAACCACAGTCTTACTAGACTACACCATTACACCTCAGTTCTAGGTGTTGTTGTGATTTATGCCTTTGTTTTTCAGTACATTCATTTATTAGACTGGCATTACTCGTCTCATGCTTGTAGCGAAGCTAAAGCCATGATCGATGGCTAATACCACTTCTCAAAATGGAGAGGCCCTTTGTTGCATTGTCCCCCTGAAGGATGGTCATATGGGTGGCCTGAAGCCCCAAAAAATCATAGTTAGCCTAGAAAAGATTGCCTTGGTAATTGTTCTTCTGTCAGTTTTTAATGAATGGAGATTGTATAGACCACATCCTAGTCTAATCTCTATGCACAATGCTGCTGCTTTGTCTTGAGGTCAATGCAGTTCATTCATTCAGGTGTATAAATCATCTCAGACCTTTTCGCCAATGAATAATAATTACCTCTGAGGCAATAATGTTTGTCAGTGAAAACAGATTTACAACAACTCTTTGTCAGTTTCGCTAATATTTATTTGGCCATTTAATGTATGATGCATTGTACACTGGTTAGCTGAACATTACAAAATGTGCACATTGCTCAATTCTTCTATCCCAGCTCTCACCCAGAAACATAGTGACATGTTCAGAGTGAGCCTTAATGAAGCTGGTACTGCTAGACCTATATCCTTCCCTCCTTCACCTGAGCTAAAGGACTTGTAACTTTGTTATTCAAAATCATGTTGACAGTAATGCTGCATCCTTACACTCTAGTACTAGCCTAACTAGGCTACACTCACATATGTTAATGTTAGACTTTGTTGTTTCCCTCCCCTAGTTACCATTCATGAAAGGCTTTTTACCATGGTGATAGTTTCCAAGGTGTTAGATAGGAGTTACGTAATTGAATAAAAATGGTAATGAGGTTAATTTGCATGCCCAACATGTCCTTCCTTAACTACTAATGCCCTTCCTTTCTTTCCGTGGCCTGTTGTTCGCCACTAGCTCTTCGTTTACTGGCTTTTATTTTGGAATTAGACCTGTCTACCCGCTGTATTGAAATACTACACTACCCACTGTATTGAAATACTACACTACACTACCCACTGTATTGAAATACTACACTACCCACTGTATTGAAATACAAACTACTCACTGTATTGAAATACTACACTACCCGCTGTATTGAAATACTACAATACACTACCCACTGTATTGAAATACTACACTACCCACTGTATTGAAATACTACACTACACTACCCACTGTATTGAAATACTACACTACACTACCCACTGTATTGAAATACTACACTACCCACTGTATTGAAATACTACACTACCCACTCTATTGAAATACTACACTACCCACTCTATTGAAATACTACACTACCCACTGTATTGAAATACTACACTACCCACTCTATTGAAATACTACACTACCCACTGTATTGAAATAGCACACTACCCACTGTATTGAAATACTACACTACACTACCCACTGTATTGAAATACTACACTACCCACTCTATTGAAATACTACACTACCCACTCTATTGAAATACTACACTACACTACCCACTGTATTGAAATACTACAATACCCACTGTATTGAAATACAAACTACTCACTGTATTGAAATACTACACTACCCGCTGTATTGAAATACTACACTACCCACTGTATTGAAATACTACACTACCCACTGTATTGAAATACTACACTACACTACCCACTGTATTGAAATACTACACTACCCACTCTATTGAAATACTACACTACCCACTCTATTGAAATACTACACTACCCACTGTATTGAAATACTACACTACCCACTGTATTGAAATACTACACTACCCACTCTATTGAAATACTACACTACCCACTGTATTGAAATACTACACTACCCACTGTATTGAAATACTACACTACCCACTCTATTGAAATACTACACTACCCACTCTATTGAAATACTACACTACCCACTGTATTGAAATAGCACACTACCCACTCTATAAAAATAGCATACTACTAATAAAGATGCTATTTTATGTTAGTAGTGTTTGAACTTAAAATACTGAATGTTGTTAAACCTTAATAAGGGGAATGGGTAGTCAACATTAAATCCAATAATTAAAATAATCTGTTTCGTACACCATGGTAACAGATCTAAAAAATAAAAATAACAAATCAGTGTCACAAAATATTTTCTGTTTCTAGCAATGTTTCCCACAACACCGGCAGCCATGGCACAAATGAGTAGGCCCTAGGCTAACCTTAATTCAGTTGCTAGCCATGGCACAAATGAGTAGGCCCTCATCTTAACTCAGTAGCTATACTAGATTCTGTATCTAAATGAGGCTGTGAGAGCTCGTTCAGATGTTGTGTCTGTTATGGATCGTTGCTGTGAGGCAGTCTCACTCATGTTTCTGATTTGTTCACCCCTGCAGCCATGGACCCGTCCATCACGCTGTGGCAGTTCCTGCTGCACCTCCTGGAGGACGACAGCCACAGGCACCTCATCTCCTGGACCTCTGGGGACGGGGAGTTCAAGTTGTTGGACGCAGAGGAGGTGGCACGCCTCTGGGGGCTCCGCAAGAACAAGACCAACATGAACTACGATAAACTAAGCAGAGCACTCCGATACTACTATGATAAGGTATCCTTGCTGCTTACTGTTTTGTATGATACTTTTTCAAGTATTTATGAGGTGTTTGATCCACTGAGTGAAGCTATAACATTAATCATATTTGTTGATTTTCTGTCCACAAGCAATGAGCTCAGCATTGTGCTCAGGTGTAAACTCACGCATCAAAGCAGAAAAAGCCATTACAAATCATTTATGTGTAGCTGTAAGCTGGTAGCATCCCAGTAGGTGTAAGTCTACTTCTTTCAGCTAGATATTTTGTTGAGGTAATTGTTTGTGTTTTTTCAGTATGGTTTATTGCAATTGTCTGTTAATTCAGTGTAATCCTTTATAGAATATCATAAAGAAGGTGAGTGGGCAGAAGTTTGTCTACAAGTTTGTGGCCCACCCTGACCCTTCGGCAGTGGACTGTGTCAGAGGCGGTGAGGATGCTCAGCAACAGGACAATCTTGATGCAGCGGGCCAGACCAAGTCCCCAGGAGGGGGGTCTTCTAACTGCCCCTCCAAGAACCTGCAGACGCAGCGTTCCTCTCCAGTCTCTGTCCAGCGCAGCTCTCGCAACGACTACATGAAGTCAGGCCTCTACTCCACCTTCACCATCCAGTCCCTCCAAGCCCCCTGCAGGACCTCTCCACAGCCTATAAAGACTGAGCTGCTGATTCAGGACTCTTCCCCCAGACCCCACAGCGCTGACCGGACGCTGCGGGAGGTGAGGGCCCACGACGAGGACCTCTCCATTTTAACCATGGTCATTACTACTAATTATAATTTAAGTTATTGGTGTTGATGAAATGTCAAATGTGTGATTGAAGTGACTATTGAACGGTTCAGACTACTACAAGTGTTACCTGTCTATCAGGTGTGTCTGGATGGCCAGAGCTCCTCCATGCAGGGCTGTGGCAGCGTGGAGAGCAGCCTGCAGGTCACACTGACTCATCCCTCTCCCTGCGCCACGCCTGCCCTCAGCCCCCAGACACCGTCAGTGTCAACCACAGGCAGCTCGGTAAGACACTCACAAGTCACAATATGTCCTCCTTCTGTCAAAGATTCTGTTGATCCATATGTTAACATTTGTGCTTACAACTCTTTTATACAAAGTGCACCCAAATGCCCTGTTTGAACCATAGTACCCTGTTGATTCAAATGTTGTTCAGGGATTCTGATTCTGGATGCCATGGTGTGCAAATCTAATGTTTCTCTTAAAATGCTGTTTTGAACATCCAGAAGTCTCAGCCACAGAAGACCCAGAACCTAAGCGACCCTCCTCAGATCTATCTGACCAGTGTGTCAGACCCTGGCTCCCTCACTCCTCTGACCCTGACCCCTGTTGGGGCCCCGGGGGAGTGTGTGGTGAACCAGCCTCAGGGCCACCCTGTCTTTGTGGTCATCAAGCCCTCACCTGTGGTGCACTCCAAAGAGCAAAGCCTCCCTTCTGAAGAGGACCTGGTGGAGATCATGAGCTTGGAGGAGAAACATCATGTTGAAGAGGTGAGTGAGAAGAGAACACACAAGATCACATTTCCCATTGTTCCATGGTTTGATTTGGACCTTTCCCCTCTCTTCTAGGTTCCTGAATCTGCATCAGGACCAAGTGAACCTGAAACCCCCCTCTCCATTGATGTCCTCCCACCCTGCGTGGAACCAGTGGGCCAGCCTGTTGGGGAAGGGGAAGAACAGGGCAAAGATGAGGCCCATTTACCAGGCAAGTCATACATTCAACACACATCTCACACAATAGAATGTTCACATATTTGTAGCTCTGCTGTATACTTTAGATGTGTGGTAACTCTTATTATACAACGGGTGGGTCTAATCCAGAATGCTGATTGGTTAAAACCGCATTCCAACCGGTGTCTATTCCACAAGTTACACCCGTGCCAATATGTCATCCAAACACTGGCTTCTCACTTAAACATGACACTGTTCTTATTACTGGGGTTTTATTCCTGTAAAGACAGGTATACCTACTGTTCCCTCATTCTGGCTCCTTTCTCCCACTCAGAACATTCCATGACTCCAGCAGTTGCTCTTCAAGCGGCTACTCTTCCAGCTCGGTCGCCCCAGGAAGTACAACCACCGAAAGCCAAGAAACCCAAAGTCCTAGAACTGCCCTCTTCCTCAACCCTCCTACCCCCTGGTCTGTCACTGGATCAGGTCAATGCAGCCGTCAACAGCCTCCTGGCCCCTGGGAGTGCCACCAACACCCTAACTCCTACAGTGTTCACTTCCCATTCTCTGGTAAGTGACATCTCTGGCCTGGTCAGTGCCACATAAGACGCAAAAACTGTCACTCTTCCTGGGGCTTCATTTAACAAATGTGGGTGTATTAGTGTGTTTTCAACTTTCCAAATGCCTTTCTACCCTCACCAAATTATTATGATACATGATTTATCAAGACCATAATGTATTTCGTTTGATAAGATATTCATGCATTGACTAAAACAGTTTCTGTGTTAAACTGGCTAATAGTCTGACATTTTCTGTCTTTTCTTTCTGTGCTCTGTCCCTTAGACTCCTGTATTACTGACACCCAGCCCTCTCCCCTCCACCATCCACTTCTGGAGCACACTCAGTCCCATTGCTCCTCGGAGCCCGGCCAAGCTCTCCTTTCAGGTATGTCCTTCCTGTTCTGTCCCTGCTGCTGCCTGGCAGAGGGCACTAGAGCAGGCCATCTGGCCATCCTGATCTCATCTACATCACTAACACAAGTATAGAGAGATGGGTTGGATTATAAATGCTTTTACATTTACCTAATGCCATATAATATTGCTCACAACTTACTAGTGCTGAGCGATTATGTCGATAATTTTTCGGTTTTTAAACAATTCCAATTTTGTTCGTTTTTCTTCTGTGAGCTCGATGTGCAGTTTCTGTAGAGATAAATCAGATCAAGCCTGAACTGTGTGATGATGTAGGGAGTTGTAGTTTCCAAAAGGCCAATATTCTACATAGTTTAGCGCAGAAAACATGGTAATTAACTACAATGACCATAATCCATTACTCGCCCGCATACTTGTCTGGTCTGTGTGGAGCAGACAGGGAGACTGACTGAGAGAAGAGAGCTTGTGATCGAGAGAGATATAAAGCAGTGCTTTGCGAGCCTGAAAATACATGATCTAAGTCCAGGGCCTCTGATCTTTTCTAGCACGAGCTACTTTTGAAAATGGAAACATTTTTTGGTATATATATAGCTTACAAATAGGCACATTCTTCTCTTCTCGTCTCCTCTACCCTGCAACTCGTCCGCATGTCCTTGGTGTTTTCTGTCAATATACCTGGTAAAATAATGGTTAATAAACAGTATTTGGCATGACAGGCCCCAATAAAATTCTCTTTTGTACATTATTTTCCTGAATTCAGTTTTCTCTGTGAAAAGAAATCCTGGTTTGGTATTTTGTTCTGTTTTTCACTCTCAATATTACAATTATTCATAGAGAAACAACGAAAATTATGTTCCGAGTCCATGTCAATGCTTAAATCACATCAGAAGAACATAATAATATGTATTTCCCCTTTAAGGAGAGGAATGTGTCAGTCTAGCGATGTTTCTGCTGTTAGGACTACTGCTGCAGCAAGGCATGGCACAGTTTGTAAAACAATGGCCACCCAATTGATACAAATAATCATGATATAGTTCTGGCAGGTAGGCCAACTTTGCAGTAACTTTGCAGTTAACATTTAATTGAGAAGGTTTTGGGGGAAAATCTTTGTCTACTCACGTGACGGTTATCATTAGCATCGCTCACTGGCTACATATGGAGTGATAAACAAACATGCGCACCAAATAGACAGACATGGGCAATATTGCTGGAAATGTATTGGCAGATGTTGTTACATTTGGCTTTTTAAGCCAATAGTGGCTAACCAGAGGTGGGATAATGCCAATGTGGCTTTGATTGGATAGTAGCCGGGAGCTTTATGTTTTTGACAGTTTGCGATGGAACAAATGAAAAAAATGAATTGCTTAGCGAGCTACTCATAGGTGGGCTGCAAGCTACTGGTAGCTGGGGATCTACCTGTCGGAGACCCCTGATCATAATAGTATGCCTTATTTATTTTGAACATCTATTAAAATAATGATTTAGTGAGACAGCATAGGCAGCAGCTCTATAGAGATGATATGATGACTTGGAATTAAATAAAAAGTTGTCAAATAAAACAAATATTTTATTAAAGTAATGTGAATAAATGATGGTTAATAAGTGATAAGCAGTAATGGGCAGTCACTATCATCATGGGACTTTTCTTAATTGTTTTATTCTGTGTTGTTACAGCATTCAACCCACATAATGCATAGTGCATTTAAAGCTGCAATATGAAACTTTTTGGGTGAGCCAACCAAATTCCCATAGAACTGTGAGTTATAGATCAGTCATTCACATTGAAAGCAAGTCTAAGAAGCGGTATATCTGTTCTATGTGCGCTATTTCTATGCTTCCCATTCTTAAGTTTCGTTTTTGCGTCTTTTACTTTCGGTTTTGTACACCAGCTGGAAATACAATATTTTTCGGTAACGGAAATATATTTCACAGCAGTTTAGATGGTATAATGATTCGCTACACCAAGGTTCCCTAACTGGCCCGCGGGTGGTTTTATTTGGCCCCCCAAGCTTTCTGAGCCCCAAAGAAATATATAATAATAATATTTTTGGGGACATAAGAATGTAAAAACACCAGGAAATCAGCTCCAAGTGATTTTTATTTAAGAAATCTGTTCCCGAGTATTCTCACACATAATAGAGAGACACGTGATTGTATACAAATGTAAGCAAGGTTTAAAATGATAATGTTTTAGTCAAACATTATATCTGCTTGGGCTTCTTGCAGTCAATTTGCAGTCTAAAAATTATTTGTAATTATGTTCCGGCAAGAACAAAATCGTCCCGAGGCTGAATGTAGTTGATGATCCCTGCTCTACGCTATGCTTGCTTGTTTTGTCACATAAACTGAAATTAGGCAAACTATTACATTTTTTTGCAACCAGGAAATGGTGGAGCAATTTCTGCATAGTGCATCTTTAATGTATAATTTTTTGGGGTCTAAATCAAAAACGTGATTAATTTTTAAGAATCAAACCGACCTAAAAAAACAACACTAATTGCTCAGCACTACTACTTACCCATGTATATAGGCTGAGGAACATTATCTGCATTAATAGAAAATACTTTAATCTCTCTCTACTGGTTAACAATCATACTACAACATCATCTTACACCATCCCAGTGCTGGACCACAACTTCTAATTTATTACATGGTTGAGCCTTTTAAGACACAACAAATGGGGAACAGGAAGTAGATACTGTAGGTTTTACTAATCAGCTGTACTTGATTGTTTTTAGTTCCCCTCCAATGGAAGCAATCATATCCATATCCCTGCCTTGAGTGTGGACGGCCTGTCGACTCCTGTAGTGCTGTCGCCAGGTCCACAGAAACCATGAGGAGAGTCCTGGAGTCCTTCCACAGTCCTGTGGACATTGATTCCCCAGTTCAGCCTATGGGACAGAAGGTACACGCCATGATCAGACCAAGTGCTCCCAGCCAGAGTGCACTCATGAGTGGAGAGCTGGTGTCCGGAGTGCTGTTGAATGATGTTTTAGCAGTTGGAGTCTTCATTCAAAGAACCTCATGACGGGCTAGCCCAGCGGTTCTGGATCAAGTCCAAGAGGTGGTGTTGGCAACTTTGAAACTTAAGAGGGGATACTATTTTTTATTTTTTATTTTTTTGTCTCGACAGATAAGGTATTTTTGGTGCGTCTCTCTTTCTTTGTAGATTCATATTTTTGCCTCAATTTTAACTTGATATATTTTCCTGTTTTATAATATCCCCAATGACAGGGCACTTGACTGTATAGATTCAACTTTGTCCATGAAAGCTTTATGGTAGTGCTTGCCCATTGTTTTACATGCAATTGGTTTCTTATTCTCAAGTACTTTTCAAATGACCAATTACATGAAGAAGAGAGATGGATACCTGTGGTGGTACCATTCAGAGCGTTTTACTCTGAGATGAACTTGGAAGGGATGTTGAGGCTTGATGCAGTTTTTTTTAAGAAGCCAAGTCATTTGAACATTTTATAATCATGGTAAAGAAATGACGCTTACCATTGATCATCTCATGGCTGGATTGGAACTTTTATTCTGGAAAAGTCAACCATTTTTTATTTTAACATGAAAACCAGAGAACCAGTGGATGTGTTTTAACGATTCAGATGAATACATTAAAATGTATTGTTTATTTTGATGGAGAATTAGGTGTGATCACATTCTATTGTTATGTGAATTTGATACTCAATCATGTTCACTGTCCATTCCAGGTTTTCCTTTAGGTTGAATTACTTGTTAATTATTTTGATGCCAAGATGGAACATTGGTTCTGGAGTATAATGTGAAACTTGACCAAAGACCAGCAGCATTGATTAAATCCAATGTAATTTTAGAGATGCAGTGGTAGCCTTCATTCATACAAGGGCTATAACACCTTATAATGCTACCAAAATCACACACAGAATCCCCAGTTTACTTTCAAAATGGATTTAGAAAAGACAAGGTTTGTTAACATAAATGTATATAAGCATTATACGGCATGGTTGAAGAGTGAAGACCAACTATAATTTACAACAGATTAGGTTATCATTGAAATATAACTGTTAAGCTTTTGATCAACTTTTATTTTATTGAGTTTTTACTGAGAACAACTTGGTCGATATAGAGATATTTGTCCACTAGCCTTTAAAATAAAAAAACATTAATTTTTTATCAGCATACGATTTGACATTTTGACAATTATTTACATTTATTCAGACTGCTTATAGCAAAGAGCTTTAAAAGCTTTGTTGGTTGATTAGAAATAGGTGTCCAACAATTATTTTTGTACATTAAAAGAGTATACTTTACTCTTAAGAGTGCATTTTATAAAGTTCTGACTTATGACATTGTTAGCTCAGCTTGCTCCCAGTTAAAGGAGATGCATTATTATCCTTAACAACAGTCCAGCTTCACACCAAATAGCCTTTCCAAATATAATTACTGTATCATCTAATGAAGTAGTGTTGTCCTTCTAGAGTCAGTGAACTACAGTAACTTGTTATTGGCAGGGCTCTTTTGGTCTGTTACTGCACTGGAGTCCACTAGTTGCATTTGGTATTTAATTTGTCATGTTAGTTTGGGATATTTTATATCAAAATTGTAATGTGTATCTAGAAACATAGGAGTGCCTCAAGAATAAGGAATTGAACCAAACTGTTAAAGTGTTTTGGTTGAATCCTCTCCCCAGAATGTAATGTGTCTTTCTCCGATCACTGCTCTGCGACTGTTTGTTTCTCTGTGAGCCTGTCTAACCTCTGGTTATAGTTACAGGTGCCCAGCAGATCCAAGGAAATAGGCTTCATACGATTACTAAGCAACCATTGAAATGATGTCACATCTGCCCACTCAGAAGCACTTAAAAATAATCCTAGTGAATGTTTGGCTATTCTAAGTACCCTCTTCACTCTCTTACCCTACTTCTAGTCAAGTAAAGACTGTTGGCCAGTGGTTTCATGCATAGCACTTTACCTTTAACTCAACATCACAATGTCAAAACCCTCTTTGAGGGACTGACTTTTTTCTACTTCATTCCTAGTCACAATTGGCAACACAATTAGCTAGTATTGGAACAGTGTGTGCCCTCTCATCAAATCAGTTACCCTTCTCTGTTTGGCATTCATACACGTATGACATGTTTTAAAGTCTGTTTGTGATCAGTCACTAACTCCGATGTCATGGTGGTACACTTACCACAAGAATATGCCTTTTTATTATTCATCATGACATGAGGATAAAAGTAATTTCTAACTCTGATCACACTATTGCAACTGAACGGTTAGAAACAACAGTTCTAAATATACATGCAATCTATTCTATGACAATGCTCTTAGCAATGCCTTGTTGGCTAGACTGTCTTTTTGTGCAGAGTGTATTTAACAACAAAATTGTAACATCATGGAAACAAGAAGATAATGAATGCCTCTGTATATTTGAACATCCTACACCCCAGTCTGTAGCTTTATACATCTCAGGCTGGGTTCTGTTCATGATATTGCTGTCTTTTAACAGTTGTGTGCTAAGATTATTCCATTGTATTACATGGGGCTTAAAATGTACTAACCCCCTCTAATTCAAAAACGATAGTTTTGATAGTTTGTGTGTAATACTGTCCCCGTCCTGTAGTTCCAGTACCCTGATGATACTTCTGCCTGTGTATTGCTACAGTACTGGTGATACATTTTTCTGTAACCTAGCATGTTTGTGTTGTGTAGGCAATTGAATGAAATGTGTTTACTATTGACCAGTCACTTTTATGACATGAATGTTGATGGATTTCTCAAATACCTGGCCTATTTCTCAGTTTGACAGCTGGAGGATTTTCCCAGACCCATGGGCTGACAGTTTAAAGCAGATAGAGGAACGGTGATGGGATAGGGATGTCATAGGTCGTGAGGGATAAACGGCAGCATTTTACAGAAGAGAGAGACTGCTACTGAATGCCTTCAGAAGAGAGACTGCTACTGAATGCCTTCAGAAGAGAGACTGCTTCTGAATGCCTCCAGAAGAGAGACTGCTACTGAATGCCTCCAGAAGAGAGACTGCTACTGAAAGATTATGTTTGCTCAGTGTTGGGGCAAAAGCCTTGGATATAGAAGTTGTCCGTTCTGGTCACAAATTAAAACTATTCTTGGAAATACAAGCCTAAGTGATATACCTAAGAATACAGTGTGTTTGTCTGCATATGAATAATTGTCTATACAGAAATGTATTGCTTTTGTAAATGTGTTATTGCAGTTTTATCACGTAGATACAGCGCTCTGCTACGTCTTCTATGATAAGAGGATCTGACTGTTGTGTGCCAGAGTTTGTTATTCTAATGCATTTATGGACATAAGCCTTGTAATGTGCTGTAAATATGTTCCAAATGAGTTCATATTGAAGCTATTTTCAGATATGGATAACATGAAAATATTCACTTGATCCTCTGTTCATCCCAGTTTTCAGATGGCTCATGACCCAGACGTCAGTTCAACATCTAGGTTCGATTTACATTTGGTTGAGTTGTCAACTAGTGTGAATTCAACAAAAACAAATCACCATGTCATTGGATGTTGGGATAAAAGAAAAGAAAAGGAAATGTTGATGACTTTTTGCAAATCCAATCAGTTTTTCACGTTGATTTAACGTCCTCACAATGACTTGGAAACAATGTTGATTCAACCAGTTTTTTCCCAGTGAAGAGGAGGTTGTTGGTCATGTGCTTGTCTTTAACAAACTGGCCCTCTTTGTCCCAGTCCCATAGTCTACACATTTTTGCATTTTGCTGTCTCGAATCTCCTGAAAACTGTACGGAAATCAGTTTTTAACGCAAAGCAAGTTTAGCTGAACTAATAAACTATGATATCTATCAAATGTAAATTGGATATAAACACACCAGGCCATTCTGAACCATCTTGAGACTGTTATAATATACAGCATGTATGAATTTAATCATTGTTTTTAGACTACAATGCAAATGATGTAAGAAATGAATTAGCCAAAGCCTTAAAGTTTAGTTTTTGGACAAATGGAGATGAGGAACATTTGGGTGTTAAATATCCACTTATGCAAGTGAGGGATTTTTTTGAAACGGGTGAGATGCATATTGAGAAGAAAAGCCATTTATTGGAACATATTATCACCTACCAGAAGTGGGAAAAATTGAGCATCTTGAGTTGCTTAGAAGTTCGATAAACTTCAGTTTTTGAGTTCACCACTTCTTTCACCAGCAAAAGATGTATTGATTGTCTTTTTCCATGGAGGGATATTTTACTCTGCTCTTGAGCGCTATAGTCTGAACACCACACAGAGACACATTGTCTTTCATCTCATTGTAACTTAAATGCTACATACAGTACATTGTTTTTAGGTTGTATGAAACTTGCAGTTGTGTTTTCAAACGTTCTGTGGCTCTCAACTCTGACCAGAGATTTGAGCTGCATTTTATTGTCTCTTTTTGAACGTTTCTGAAACATTATGGATCTACAACCTTGACATGTACTATTGTGTGAGAGCTTTGTCATTGTGTACAGTTTTCTATTCAATAATGTTTGGGGAAACCTAAAACACTGTATATATGTTTGTGAAAAATGTCAGATCTCTGGCTGAAATAAGTACCAATGTCTTTGAGGTATTGACTGTTTGTTTCTGTGGCATTTGGGTTTCTGATGTGTGTAGCCTCTTCCCTTCCCCATGGGAGTGATTGTCTCTGGGGGTTTATTTACAGAGGGGAGGGTTTGTTTTTATTTTTTTGGAAATATCCAAATATATTATATTTACTGGAAAGAGAGACAAACTATTTTTATCTACACACTTCACTTTGGTTGTGTAAATGTTAATAGATATTATTCTTGTTTTCTAAAAACAGATCTAGAACTAATATTAGGAGTTAATAAAATCCTATTTCGTTCTGTACATGGTTTTGTTCTTCCTTTCTTTGAAATCACGTTGATGTTGTCTGTTTCGCTGAAGTGTATTGCAGTTGAAGTATACTTCAAAAGGTTTAGCTTAAATGATGCACAATGGTAAAAGATGTGTGGAGTGACAGTCAAACAAGTATGCCAACACTAAAACTACACTCAACCAAACAGAATATGATCATTTTCATCAGCATGTAGGTTTCTACTTTCTGAAATAACAGAAACCAATAATGCCCCAGTTG